GAAAGGAAAGGAGACTAAGCCAAGAAAAAGAGATGATGTTAAGCTACAAAACTTCAGAATCACACTCTAAGGCACAAAGGCCTCACCTGGACATTAATTGCTTTGTCAAAATCTTCATGTTTTTTGATCAGAGCCTCCACACTGTCCAGTGAGTCTCCCTTGTCTTCAGTATTCAGGAAGGCCTCCCGGGCAGCCATCCAGTTCTCAGCTTGCTCACAGTCCCTGTGAAACAGCTAAGGAAGGAAACAGGCAGGTGAGAAGATAGAAGCTTCAGCAATCAATAGCTGGTCAGAAATGCTGTGGGATTACACAAGAAGCTAATGTGCAAAGCACATGTACCTGCAGTTCAAGGCACTGATCTAACATCATCCTGCGCTGAACCCAGGCCTTCTCCAGATCTGCTCGCTCCTGATCTAGAATATCTAGTTTCTCCTTGATCTCTGGGCTGGCATAGTGCCCGTGAGCCAACAGCTGCTGCCCAAACTGCTCAAATGCCTGGAAAGTGCCAGCCCTGGCATCAATTTCTGTCCGGTGTTCCTGCCAAGAGGAGAGAAAGGATTAAATAACTGGCAGTAGATGACCACTCTCACGTCAAGCACCAACTCACAACAAAGGGTGGGGAGTGAGGCCTTCCATAGGCCATGTTTCTGCTACTCAACAGGCAGGTCTACCCACCTGGTGTCGCTCGAGCAAGGCTTCAGCTCCAGTGACATCCTTGGCTAGCTCATCTGAAGATACCAACCCACGTATTCCATTGATCCAAGACATGAGGTCCCTGGAAACCAGATCCACAAAGAAACAGCAATTACACTATCTGGCAAGTAGGTTTTCTGCCTAGGAAAAGGGAGAACTACATAATTCTTGCTTTAGAAGGTTATTTTGGGTTAATCTAACCTAATGGGGCTAGATTTCCGGGCAAAGTATTTCAAAGCCTTTTGTTTTGGGATACACACACACACACACACACACACATAAAATCAAGAATTCATCTGAGGAAAAAGTGAATAGTTTTGCTACTATAATCTTTTTACCCTACAAAATAACAGGCTCTAACAGAGGCAAAAGCTAAGGTTAAATTTTCTAGCCATTCAAAAAATAAGCCTTTGATTAGCATTAAACCATAAAATTATAACCTACACATACATTTAATCCAGCTTCTTACAAATGTACACAAAGATAACAAAGATGTGCCTAAAAATATCATTAGCACAACAATGAACAAAAGAAATGGCTGTTCTAAATAGGTATTATTAAACAAGTTATAGGTCACACATTTAGTGGAAAGCTAGGTAGTCATTAACAAGAATGAAGAAGCTGACACCAGTTTACTCAAACTATTCCAGAATACAGAAAGGAAGGAATACTCCACAGTTTATTTTATAAAGCAAGTATAACCCCGATGCCAAAGCCAGGCAAACACCACTAAACAAGAAAATTACAAAATAACCCTCATGAACATAGACACAAAAATTCTCAACAAAATGCTAGCCAAGATATTTCAACAACACATTAATCCAACACTCATTCCTGACAAAAAAATGTTGAACCAAATAGGAAGAAAGGGAAATTCTTCAACATAATTAAGGACATATATACAAAACCAATGGCCAACATTACTCAATGGGGAGAGACTGAAAGTATTCCCCTCACAAATGGGTACCAGACAAGGATGCCCTTTATCACCACTCCTATTTGATAATGTACTGGAAGTCCTAGCCAGAGCAATAAGGCAAGAAAGGGAAATAAAAAGCATCCAAATTGGCAAAGAACAAGTAAAACTATCTTCATTTGCAGATGATACGACCTTATACACAGAAAATCCTAGACTCAATAAATCACTGAAACCAACTGAAAGTGTCAACGTAATTGGCAGGGTACAAGATCAACATACAAAAATGAGTCTGATTCTTTCACACTAATGAAGAGAAACCAGGAAATCACCCAAAAGATGAAGAACTTAGGAATAAATCTAACCACAGACACAGAAGACCTATAAAAAGAAAACTACAAAACACTATTCCATAAAATCAAAAGAGACCTACATAAATGGAAGACTATACCATGTTCATGGATAGTAAGACTTAACATGGTGAAAATGTCAACACTATCCAAAACAATCTACAGATATAAGCACATCCCAATCCAGATTCCATCATCTTTCTTTAAAGAGATGGAAAAACTAATCATCATCTTTATATGGAAAAGAAAGAGACCGCAGATAAATAAAGAACTGCCAAAGAACAAAGCAGGAGGCCTCACACCCCTCAATCTCAAAAGTGCTACATACCATAATAGTTAAAACAGCCTGGTACTGGTACAATGACAGACACACAGACCAATGGAATAGAATGGAGAATCCAGAAGTAAATCCATTCACCTATGGACAGCTATTTTTGACAAAGGGCCAAAACTCATGAAATGGGGAAGAGACAGTCTCTTTAATAAATGGTGTTGGCAAAACTAGATATTCATTTACAGAAAAATGAAACAGGACCCATATCTTATACCATATACAAAAACGAACTCAAGTTGGATCAAAGACCTGGATGTAAAACCTAAAACCATACAGCCCATCAAAGAAAAAACAGGCACAAACCTAGCAGCCCTAATGCAGAGCATAAACACACTATCAAACATAACTAAAAAACCCCCACAAACACCAGAAGACAAAAATAGATGATTGGGACCTCCTAAACATCAGACACTTACGGAAAAACATGTCAAAAAACGTCACTAAAAGAGTAAAAAGAGAACAAAAGAGAACTCAGACTGGGAAAACTTTTTTGGTAACGGATCTATCAGACAAAGGGCCAAATCTCTAAAATTTATAGAAAACTTCAACACCCTAACAACAGAAAGAAATAATCCAATTGAAAAATGGGCAGAGGACATGAACAGAAACCAACAAAGAATACATCAGGCAGCTAACAAACACGTGAAGAAATCCTTGAGATCATTAGCCATTAGAGATGCAAATCAAAACAACAAAGAGATAGCACGTCACTCCAGCACTAAAAGCAGTGTTTTAAAAAACAGAAAACAGGACTTCTGGTAAGATGGAGGAATAGGCAGACAAGGGACACAGACACTCTTCAACAAAGAAAAGAAAAACCAATTGACAGAGATATAGAAGATAATCCTGGAACCCTGAGCTTTGAAAGGAACTATACAGAAGTGGATTAG